GCGGGGGACGGTGTGTGGAACCGCGTGTTCCGATCTGAAATACACTGACCCTCTGACCTGAAAATCCCTTGTTTAGGAAGCTGTCCTCCCAAAGAATCGGCCCTCAATATGATACACGCCGCCGATAAGACTCCAGAATTTTAATGTAGGAAAGACATAGGGGTGCCCACTGGGTTTTAAGCAAATCAAGAATATGGTATTTCTTATACTTTTGAGTTTGTGTAGTAAAATTCCTGCTCTCTACAGAATTAATTATTAACTAAATAGCACAATCAGCTTTTGTCAAGTGGCAAGTAGAGGCCAGGGATGACATCAGATTCCTTAAAACAGCGTTTTAGGGATTTAGTTGCAAATATTTAAGAAAATAACTCTTCAGTTTCTACCACTCCCCCCTCCCCAAAACCGGTCTCTTACCCAAGGGGAGGCGGGGTCGTGGGAAGGGCCCGGGCACCCAGGGCAGGAAACCTGTCTGCTTTTGTTCCCAAATGTCGCTCTGGCTCTCCCCATCCCTGTGGTCTCCGTTTGTGATGAGAAGGAGAAATGCCAGGTGGAGCCAGAGTTGCCCCCACGCTGGCTCCTACTAAGGGCGTGGCTGCGTGGGTTCCACTCGAGCAGGGAAGGCCAGTCGCAGGCCTCTGAAGGGACAACAGGAGCTCCTCTCACCCAGACCGGACGGGGCCAGTTTTTTGAGCTAACTGCTCGGCATAACAAAGTGAGAAGAGCCTGGACTCCTGCTAGGGCCAGGGAGGGGACGAGGGTCCGGGAAATGGGGGCGATGGAGGGGTTCTGAGAGTGAAGGGGGGCTCGCCCAGCACAGGGCCCGGAGACCCCCGCCCCAGTTCACAGCCCAGCTGGGAGCAGCACAGTTGGCCTCCAGCTTCAACTCCTTCGGGAGCTGCTCCAGCTTTTTTTTTTTTTTTTTTTTTTTAGGAGGCAGGGAGGTTGTCCCACTCCTTGTGGACAAGGCCTAGACTTTTTGGCCAGATAGAAGGCTCCTTTACCGTGCAAGCTGTGCTTTGAGCGCCCCTGATTTCGGCAAAGCCTTTATCAAGTGGGCCTGGGCTGGACGGCCCCCCCTGCCCCAGCGGGCTTGCCTCCCCTTTGTCCTGGCAGCTTTCACTCCCCACAAGCCTTTGCTGCCCCCCTTCCCCGGCTCAGCACCTGCTCCCCAGAGCCCACCGGGCACAGCTAAAGACTCCTCATTTGCAACTGCAGACTTCACACCAGTGGGGATTTGTATGACACCAAAAGGAACTTTTTCCCTCATTTTAATTTCAAGTTCAGAATTTAAAACCGAATAATTGCCAATCTGTTCTCTGCCACTCGGTCACTGTTTAACCTTGAATGATGACCGATTTTGTCTGAGCAAACAGTCACAAATTCCCTCCAGAACATATTCTTTTTCATTTTATTTTTGGGGTTAAAGAGAAATGAAAGAAATTCTGGAGGGAAAATACCTACAAATATCACTACAAAACTTTCTAACTCTGACAAACAATAGACTCCTAGTTTTAGAATGAGAAAAGATCTTGAAGTTTATTCCAGTTAAAGTCCCTCACTTCGCATCAGAGCGTTTGCCCATAGAGCCCTTGAAAATTGTAATCTAGATCTCCAGTTACAAAAACCGACAACAAGCAACGCAACTTTGCCACCATCTTAGTAAAAACAGCTAAGTTTCCAAAAATTATAGCTATGTTTGCAATATTCAAGATTACTGTCAGACTTGGTGCTAATATCCATCTAGATGCTAGCGTTATAGTCATTCAAGGAGAGCAAAAAGTTCAATCTTTAGGATCTTTTTATTTCTATTGGATATATTTTCCTTTTCTTTGTTTTCAACTTGCAGATTATATTTTTAAAGGGGCAATTGAGTTTTCTTTTTCAGAAAAACGACACATAAGGCCGCTTGGCCTTTCTGATCTGTGTGCTGAGGAATTGGCAATCGTGTTAATTCAATACAGTGTATTTTTGCAGGGAGGGGCATTCTTTGTTCAGTTAAGAAGAAAAAAATCGCTTTAAAAATGTGTAACTTTTAAAATGACGTTAACAAATAGTTATTACTTGATTAATAAGCTTTGAAGCTTGTTAAGGGGGAAGTTGACATCCAAAACGATTCTTCTGCATGTTTAATAGGACAATATATTTGTCAATTCCTTTTATTCTCTAAAAGCTCCGTTCTCTGCCCTCTTTTGTGATCTCTGCTGAAATTACATCTGCGCTTGGCTCTTTCTCCTTTACAAAAAGGAGAAGCTCAGCTTCGGACCCAGGTTGCTTGACCTTCATTTATCCACTTTCCACCCCAGCTGGCCTGGAGCAGATGAAGTTACGGTGAGATTTCTCTGCCTCTCGAGAAGACCCTGGTGCCTAGACCTTTCTCTGCTGCTGCTTTGAGGAGCTCTGCTACACATCAACCCTATCGACCCTCTCTCCTGTGACCCACTGCCCCAGTAGTTCCCAGGGCGAGATGGCTAATGATCTAAGTCCAGCTAGACCTGGTCGCTACTGACACCATGGAACAGCCAACCTGTCTGTACGAAAGGGTCGTTTCAGCTGCAAATTACACGCAGATGGGGAATATCTTTTCTGTGCTACCAAAAGTGAAGCAGGGTGTTTCCAAATGAGAGGCAATCACTTGAGTGAGGGGTATTTACTTGCATGTCCTTGTAGGCCGAACTCCACGTTGCCTAGCAGATGGCGTCTGTGGTCGTAAGCACAGAGTGCAGAGTATTTCCACATCTGTAAAATATACGTGCAAATGTCAGGGTAGCCATGTCATAAAGTGGAAAATTATTTTCCTAGTTAAATCTTAAATAGTTTCGATGGGAACTACCCAACAAGATTAATTACTAGTTTTTAGTAACAGCTCAGTATACGTAGAGTTCCTTTGCAAGGAGCTTGTGATCTAAACAAGACTTAGCAAACCAATACCTCTAAAAATTAGCTGAGAAAAGCCTCGGTGTCAGCATCTGGGGAGAAAACTGGTCTTAGAATTTGCCCTTTGTTACACTTCCCCAAGCTAGGGTTATTCAGAGTTTTTCTTTACACAACTGGACATGGATAAGACTTGATCATCATCTTTAATTCATTATGTGTTACTAAATAATAATATAGTTTCCCAATTATGAATTAAATATTCTTGGCTTATGGTAAGGGAAAGGAGGAGGAGTGGACACCGACCCAGAAGGTTATCTGGCCCAGTTCTTACATTTATAAAGAGTCTTGAATTTAGGCTTCTGACATTACCTTCAATGGAGATTACACCAAAATACACTGATGGGATTGAAAGAAGACACCCTCATCCAAATTTAAAATTGAGATCCCTGACGAAACTATATCACCTTCCAGTGTACTGTGGATTTTAAAAGTTGAATCTTTATCTTCCAACTAGCGCAACTGTTTTGTGTTGTAATTTGTGTGTGTGTGTTAAAGGCATCAACTGTTTAAAATGTGAACTTTCAAAACACCCCAATTTTTAACCCTTTTAGTGATTTTTTTTAAAAAAATTAATATACTGGGAACCTCAAAAGTAATGGAGGCAGCCTAGATCTCTCTCAGCCTTTGAGAAGTTCTGAAATGATTTGGTTAGAATGCAAATATTTCCACAAGGTAGCAGGAGCATTTTCATGTAAGCCTAAGAAACCATAGACTAAGGAATCCAGAAAATAGGAAATTCTAGAAAAGAATAAATTGTATGTTTCAAATGAAGACTCATTGCATACTCTTTTTTTTTTTTGCCTTTGTATTGGATTTTATGGACTTTAAGGAATATTTCAGTCACACTATTCCAACATGTTAATACATATTTAAGATATATAATATCTGCTGCTTTAAAGCACACTTTTCTCAGCATAAAGTCACCAGCTGGCTTTGGTAAACTTATAGAAATAGCAACTATGTGAAGCTGTGAATATTCAACAAGAGTAAACTGCATGATTTACAAGTGTTCTTGGACACCCAAGGCTTGGAATGCTCTAAAATAAAACCTGACCGATAGAGGGTCTTTGAAAGACAAATCTTACAGCCATGTCTTAAAGGAGAAAGGAGTGACAACTAAAACAGTAAGAAAGTCAACTGTCATGAGTTAGAAGGGAAGGTTAATCCCGGGTAACAAGTCAACAGAGGTCATTATCTGAATTATAAATATCCTGAAAGGGAACTCCTTCCTCTTGTTTGCCCAGTTCCCACAACTGCATCGTCTCCGGGGAAGCATGCATTTATTTATTTACTTATTTCAGCAAATTCAGTACAGAGTCGTAGAGACAATCGTTTTTTAACAGACATAACAAACCATTACTTAACAGACTGAAATATGAAGGCATCTGTCCAGTTGCAGTTGGGAAATTCTCTCCCCGAGCCCAGTAGGTGTTGGTGTGGCCGAGGGCATTTAGGGAAGCATAGAGGAAACAGGGACACACAGGGCACCAGAGGTGGAGGGTTAGAGTCTGCAGAGTTCAGGTGCTCCTGCTGGTCTCAACGCGGGGCCTAAGGTCAAAGCACGATCACAGGAGGAAGGCTCCTGTCGTCAGCCCCGCTCCAAAGAGCCCAGAGTCCTAAGAGCTAAAATACAAGCTAATGAGTAACAGTGGCACAAACTGTGCCCTTCCAGGACTCTGCAGACGGCAGGTAGAGGAGGAGTTTTAAATCTGCAGTGGTTTTCCAGGAAGGAGCACAACAGACACAACTCATGGTTTGTTTGACGGGGGCCTGAAGTATATACTTCGGAACAAACCCCGGGAATGGTCCCCGAGATACGTGGTCCGCGTATGTCATCCAGATGCTCCTCCGGGCAGCTCTGTGGTTGGAGGTTCGTACTCCTATATGCAGAGAAGGAAACGGACCTCAGACAGAGAAGTCAAGTCGTTTGCCCAAGGTTGGGTGGGAAAGTTGGGCTTTAGATCCCCCTGACTCTCAGATGGGTGCCGTTTCTACGGTATCTTTCTGCGTCATTCTTACTGTTATTTAAGTACTTGTAAATTGACTTGATTTTCCTCTTCTTCAAGGGAAGGAACACAGGCCTGAACCTTGGGATCTTTGTTGACGCTTCCCATCAGTCATCCCACCACTATTTATGGAGCAGCTAATAAGGACCACGCATCGCGGTTAAAGAATGAATGAAACACAATCCCCGCTCCCAAAGAGCATACCGGTCGGTCGTCCGAGGCACCCGGTAGCATTCATTCCTCATGTATCTCTCCTCGTAGATAGCTCTCTTCCGAGTGTCTGGTGCAGGCCCCCACCGCCTGGACAGCGGTCTTGTAAGTGGTCCCTCTGGGGATGGCCGAAGCTCAGGTCACCATCTCACAGCCGTCACGAGATGAGATCGAGCCCCGCGTCGGGCTCCTTGCTCACTGAGGAGCCGGCCTTGGATTCTTTCTTCCTCCCCCTCTGCCCATCCCACTCACTCTCAGTCTCTAAGAAATAAATAAAATCTTAAAAAAAAAAAAGTGGTCTTTCTGTGTTATTAGCCAGGTCGCAGGAGATCTACTCAGACAGTTGTAGGCAAGGTAAAGAATTTATGTACTTATGTATTTATTTATGAATTTATGGTTGAAGGGAAGAGCAGGGGGAGAGGGACAAGCAGACTCAGTGCTGAGCATGGAGCCCGAGGTGGGGCTCTATCCTACGACCCCAAGATCATGACCTGAACTGAAAACCAAGGGTTGGACACAACCGACTGAGCCACCCAGGCAACCCAGAGCAAATTTTTTTTTTTTTTTAAGTAGTAAGGAGACATTCAGAGACTGCAACAGTGGGAAACCACCACCATGCCTAGGGCCAAAATACTCCAGAAGGTATGTTAAAATCCTAACTGCCCCCAGCGACAGCCACGGAAGGAGGCAACTGGGAAACCTCTCTCCTCCGCGCTTCTGATCTATTGGAGCCAGTCCTGCCCCAGCTCTGAAGCCAGGCAAGCAAACGGGCCCAGCTGTGCAATCGCAGGGGTCAGCCTCCCCGTGCAGAGAATGGGGGTGGATCGGGCCGGGGCAAACAGAGCACGCAGCTGCCTCGCCACTCCTTCAAGCCATAGGAAAGAACGCCACGCACCTGGCAAGCCCATGTGGGACGAGAAGAGGGGAGGGCTCCTGGACAAGTGTTGACACCTCCAGCACTTATGGCTACGAAGAGTAGATTGCATCACCAAGGGAGACTAGAATGTCTAGAGAAAACCACAATGAAATACCTCACACCTCTTAAGATGGCTGTTAGGGACTGATCTGTGCCACCACGCCCCCATTTTCTGTATGTGGAGCTCTACCCCCCAATGTGACGGTGTTTGGAGATGGGGCCATTGAAAGTTAAGTGAAGGAATTAGGGTGAGGCCTAATCTAATAGCACTGATATCCTTATAGGAAGAGACACCAGATCTCCCTCTCTCTCTCTCTCTCTCTCTCTCTCTCTCTCCCCCCTCTCTCTCTCCCATGCATGCACAGAAAAAAGGCCATGCAAGGACAAGTGAGAAGTTGCTGTCTGCAAGCCGGGAAGAGAGGCCTAATCAGAAGCCAATGTACTGGCACCTTGATCTTGGACATTTAGGCTTCAGAACCGTGAGAGAATGAATTTATGGTGTCTAAGCTCCCCTCGGTGACATCCTGTTACGGCCGACTGAGCAAACTAACGCAATGACTGTAATCTGTAGAATGGGAAATGATGTGTTGGTGACAATATGGAGAAATCAGAACCCTGGTACGTTGGTAGTGGGACTAAAAAATGGCACAGCCGCTGTGGAGTGCAGCATGGGGGTTCCTCAAAAAGCTGAACGTGTAATTACCATAGGACCCAGAAATCTCACCCCAAATTCATTGAGAACAAGGACTCAAACAGGTACTCGTATGGCAGTGTTCACTGTAGCATTATTCACAAGAGCCGAAAGATGTATTAATAGACGTAGTAAATCCATACAGTGGAATGTTAGCCTTTAAAAGAAATAAAGTTCTCCTACCTGCTGAAATATGGATGATCCTCTGAAAACACTATAAGTGAAATAAGCCAGGCAGAAAAGAACAATTATTACATGGTTCTACTTGGATGAGGTATCTGGAATAGGCAAGTTCATAGAACCAGGAAGCAGAGTAGAAGCCACCAAGGGTCTGGGGGGTGGAGAGATGGGGAGTTATTTATTAATGGGTACAGAGTTTCATTCAGGGTGATAAAAAAAAAGTTTTGGAAAGATAGTGGTGATGGTTGTACAACATCGTGAATGCTGCTAATGACACCAAATTGTATATCGTGAAATGGTTAAAGACACAAAGTCTATGTTATTTATGTTATACGACTGAAAATTATAATCATCATCATCATAATAGCTAGGGAGTTTGGAAGCAAGCCAGAGCATGTGGCGTCAGGGAGCCAAGGAAAAGAAAGTTTACCAGAGGCGTTCTGTGTAGGGGCGTCCGCTGTGCACGTCGGCCCATAGCCCTTCTTCCCTGGCTCCTCTCTTTCTGGTAACAGGTCCACCCTGCACTTCGAGAAGTGCCCTTCCTTCACTCTTGTGGGTCACACATGGCTCCCAAATGTGGCTCCAGGAAGGACCATCTGGCTGTAATTAGGGGCACATGAACCCAACCCGTGCAATTGCCACCTTTTCTCAGGACCTTATATGTGTAAAGTGAAACGATCCCCCTCTGTCTAGGCCTACCAGCTGGTGTAATCCAGAAGTTGTCTGTGGCCAATTTCCACACCATGACTTTTAACCACCAACACACAGAGGAAGCCCGTTTGAAATGGGGATGAAAAAGAGGAAACCCAAGCCAGGAGCACAGTACTTGACCCATGCCACCTGATGCCACCTCCCTCCCCAGAACTCGCAATTGTGCAAGCCATTCAAGTGCTTTTTGCTTAAGCCGGCATGAGCCGATTTTGTTTAGTTGCCCCCAAAAGAGTCTCCGTGGATATACACGTGGTCTCCTGCTAGATACTAGGTGCACAGCTAGACGGACTTTGAATCCCAGCACCCAGCGTAAAGGGTGCTTAATAATATGAAATAAATGTTGAAACCCTAACAATCATTCCAGGTCCAATTCAAATCTCATTTCCGTCTATAAAAATTGTATTGAACCCCCAAATCAAGTAGGATCCTTCTCAGAACCCTAAAACGACTGCCTGTGACTCCCAATGGCATGTTACAGATTTTGCTTCTTACTTTGGTTGGTTGTGTGCTTGGCCATGTCTCCCCAAGCAGTAAGTGCAAGGGGTGCAAGCCCTGAGCCTGCTACTAGCAGGTGCACAGTACAAGCTGACTGTTCTTACCTCACTCCCACGTGCCAGCTGTGCAGGGGGAAATGGGGCATGGGTGCGACCCTGTCCACTCAGAGGCGCTTGACATGCTCAGGGAATGATGCCAACTGCTTGGCCCCAGCAGAAAACAAGCAGAGAAGAAGATAGGTGGCATATATACCCTTGCAGAGAAACAAGGCTCTAGACCGAGAGCAAAAGATATTTTTATCCAGAAGACGATAGAAGGATGCAGAGCAGGCTCGGAAACATTTTAGAAGTAGTTCGGGACCAAGTGCACTGGAGACAGACAGGCCCAGAAGCTCCACCAATGGGCATTTAGCAGCGGGGGAGTCCTGAGACCCTCCCTCCCTTGTCTCCAGACTTCTTCCCTCCTCAGTGAGGTGGGCAGAGGCCGACTTCAGCCTGACCTCTGGCGCCCTCGGGCCTGTGGGCAAACGGGCCGCAAGGGACCACGTCCGGCCAGCAGCAGCCGCATGGGCTGTTCAGGGTCGCGGTCACCGCGGCCTTCCCTGCGCCAACTGAGGCATGGACGGACGGGCTGGCTGGCTGCTCAGGACGGTGGCGCTGCGAAGTGGCATCGCCGGGCCACACGCCGGAGGCTCAGGGCCTCGACTGCTCTGCAGCCCGTCAGAAACCTGGCCACCCCCGCTGTGACGACGGCAGGTGTTGTCCCGAGCAGGCCAGCCACCAGACAACACGTAGCCCCTGTGGCCGTGGAGGCTGACCCAGAAGGTGGGGAGCTGGGAAGCTGATGGTGCACTTCAGTCCGGGCCCAAAGGCCTGAGAGTGGGGGTCGTGGGGTCCAGGGGCGGCCGCAAGGTCATCGGTGTGAGTCCCAGGTGAGTCAGAAAGCTCAACAGCCAGAAGCGAGGCCCACCTGCTCTCCTCAGCCTGCTGACCCCCCTGCTGTCTCTCCCGCGGACACCCTCCCAGGCCCACTCAGCTGTCTGGGCCTCCCTCCGCCAAAGCAGGAGGATAAAACTAAGCATCACAGAGGGGTGATCAAACTCCAGGAAACTAAGTCGCACTCCCCAAAACCACTGCCCAATGGGCTAGAGGTTCAAGCAACCTGCAGTTCGGTCCTTCTCCCCTGGTGAAGGAAACACAGAAACTTTATGCACAAAATGGTCAGAGGATTTATTTATTTTTTTCCTATAAGAAGAGAGGATTGGCAGGGCGCGCCTGCGTGGCTCAGTCAGTTAAGCATCCGACTCTTGATTTTTTTTTTTTTTTTTTAGTTTTTAAAGATGTTATTTAGTTAATCATGAGAAACACAGAGAGAGAGAGAGGCAGAGACACAGGCAGAGGGAAAAGCAGGCTCCATGCAGGGAGCCCAACATGGGATTCGATCCTGAGACCCTGGGGTCACATGCTGGGCCGAAGGCAGGTGCTAAACCACTAAGCCACCAAAGGATCCCCCAACTCTTGATTTTTGGCTCTGAGCGTGATCTTGGGGTCATGAGATGGAGGCGGACGTCGGGCTGTGCACGGCTGCATGCCTGCTTGAGATTCTCTCTCTCCCTCTCCCCCTGCCCCTCTGCTACCAAAATAAATAAACCTTTAAAAAAAAAAAAAAGAAAAAGAAGAGGGGATCGGTACCATATACTCTGTCACATGGTTTGATTTATTTTTCCCCCGCAGGCATACTTTACTTTCATTCTGAAATGCACGTTTTTAAATCATTGCAGCAAATGACTCTTCTGCAAGACCAGATTCCGGGTCCGTGGCAGTGGCGGTGGAGCTGTGCTCATATGCCTCGGCCTGTACCTTCAGCATGTAGCCCGGCGGCTAAGACCCCGTAGGCTCTGCACAGGTACCCGAAGAAGCCTGGGTGCCCCTTGTCAAGCTCTGCTGCATCGGAGGGCGTCCCGGTCCTGCGGCCCAGGGCCCACCAGCTGGTGGGGGGCACCCTGAGTCCGCACGCACTGCAGGCCGGCCTTTCCGGTGCTTCCAGAGGACACAGCAGAATTCAGTAGGAAAGAACCAAGCCCAGCAGTACCTTTAACCAGGATATTGTTCTGTGCAACTTCGTTTCCGTTTTGCACATGCCATGTGGTGGTGTAAGTGGATTTCTTCACTGGGCTTGCGAGCGGCCAGCCCAGGCCAAGGGGTGCACCCAGCTGCCGGGCCCCATGGTGGGCCTGGCACCTGGCGACCCCGGGAAGGGCCTCCTTGCGGGGTGCAGCTCT